ATGATCTACGGTGATCTTCGCATTCGCCGTCAAAGAATAGAACAGATAGAGCAGCGAATCGCGGCTTAACCTGAAAAGGTCACGATTAGAAGCTTCATCTATCCTGGAATCCCCGTGAAAATGAAGCCAATGTTACAAATTATCCGGCGAAGATAAAAAGAAAAAAAATCCACGGCGTGTCAGCGTTCGATGGCGCGCGACGGAATAATATCGAAGCGGTAAATCTTCTTAAACGAGTCGAGGGAAATTATTCGGTGATAGTGGGTGTCGTGGATGTAAATTGCGGCGTGTCGACTTCCTGGCAGCGGCGGAAACCGCGGTAACATCCACACCCACCGACTCGCTCGCGTGAAAACCACTGGCTGCTTACTCGATCACACCTGCCGATCTGTTTTATCTACACGCGTCCCGATTGAACCCGAAAAAAGGTGGGTGGATAAAAAGGAAAACACGGGAAAAAACAAGCGGACGTATCATCTACGAGGGATATTTCGGGCGTTTATCGCTCGGTTCGACGGGAACGACCGATCGAATTCATTCCCCCTGGCTGAATACGTTGCAAATATAATGGATACCGGATTATAGGGTTCTTTTTTTACCGGGGCCAGATGCGGGATTATTGTTTCATAACGGGTTCCCGCGGATTTCTCGTGCCTTTGTTTTCCATACGGACGTGATTCGATGAAAATTGGGGTCACTCTTGAGCCTATCGCGCGCCACCGCCGTATATTGTATATGTACATATATGTGTGTTTCGACAATATCGCCACACGTCTGCTATATCTGTTTTTCACCTATTAAATCGACCGTGATTTTCACCGGGCGTGTTATCAGCGTCCTCGTTCCAACGCATTCGAATGTCTTTGACTGGTTAATTAACGCCGATGGGGAAAATTGTGGCCGTGTCATTTCGACTGATGAGAATTCCTGATGAAATGGCAGAAGTGATGAAACACACCCCTTTTCTATTATTATTATTTCTGTTTTCATTGTGCGTGCGTGTGTGTTTCTTCTTTCTTTTCCCCATCTTTTCTCTATTTTCGTCCAGTTGAAAAGCACGATTCTTCCTTGCACAGGTAAATAGGCCAGTTTATTCGATAATACGGAGAATTATTTCGTACACCCTGACAGCTCTTCGTTTTACTCCCTTTCCCAATGACGAGCGAGTTTTTTAATCGCGACGTGTCCATTGAAACGGTGCAAATATGGAAATGATCTAACGCGATGCAACGAGATATGACGTTACACGCCGGGCAAAAGGGATGCGTGATGCACGTATTCGGCCCTGAATACGTTCGATTTATGCAACGCTCGTAATCCACGGGCCGGCGTAATATTTGTAATTCACATTCGTAACGTTAAAAACATGCGGGGGGGAGTCTCTACATCGGTCGAAACGAATTCGTGAAATTTCCGTTTTGTTTGCCGAACAAAGGCTCGTTCAGTTTCCCGCATTCTATATATCCCGCGTATGCAAAAAATGCTCTAATTAATCATTCTAAAAGGAGACGAATTAAACGAACAAGATTATGTTAGGGTGGACGACCTTTTTGTACAGTCAAAGTGAACGAACCAGGTTTATGGTATGGTAAAATTCGTAACGTTATTTTCGTTGTTAATGAAAGAAAAAAAAAGTATGGAACAATTTGCGTGTTCGTTGAAAGCTCTTTAATCCTGATTCGATGATCGAAACGTTTATTATTAACTCGTTCGCGGTACGGTGATTCGTACATTGTTCAGAGTAATCTCAACCCGTTCGTCGCCCGCTCTTTTAATTCCCACAAAAAATATATCGTTAAGTTTTACCAGACGAATAATTGAGCCACACAGAAGCCAAAGTGACTAACTCCACGAAATTAGATTTTTGTTAAGTTCTTTGAGTTAACCCTTTCACTGCTGTTTCACGCCTTTTGGCACATGTTCACTTAATAAAGAAAATTTAAAAGCGACAAATATTTCAGTTTAATCGAAACAAAAGATTTCGCGACTGTGAAAGGATTAAATACCAAGTGTGTGCTTTGACATTATACCTACTTCCAAATCTTTCATCTTCTAAATGGCTGAATTAAAACACAACTAACTCCAGCCATCGCACAGATTATCCCACATTTTTCCTCTCCACGCGCTATCATAAACCATAAACCACTTTGCGCTTGTATCTCCTCATCACCCAGTGCACGTATTCCCATGCGTCTCGACCTATTGCGCCAGCACACGCAGTCACCACTGTTCGGTTGTAAAAACCTAAATATGGTCAAGGCGAAGGTTTAGGCGACACGGCTCGCAATTTTACAAGGATTTCGGAAACCCTCTCATCTGGCCACCAGAAGCGGCAGCCTGCCGACCGACCGGAGGAACCAGGACTCGACCCTACAATATAACAAATAGTTTACAACAATAACCCCACCCTCTCGACACGACAGTCACCCCCGGAACACTCACTAAAATCCAATCAACACTCTTCAACCACCTCCACTACACATTTAAACAGCAAATAGAAACACACAGCAAGTTGATAAAATAGCACGCACAGACAGTTTTCGGGAACAGTAACACAGACACTCAAACATTCATTACCAGTCTAATTTTCGTAACACGTCATACATCATTAAACTAGTTATAATAAAGCTATATCACTGTTCAATATCGTGTTGACACATTCACCAAATCATACAGTCCACTATCCAAGTGACCATTTCGAAAGACTTCACTGGACTTCACTGAAAGGAACCCAGTTCGAAGTCCGCGTCATATTATCGTCGCGGAAATAATCGTCGACGCTGTGACGCGACCAAACAACCACCACAATCATCAATCAGGCCAACTCCATGGATCGATAAACTATCAGGAGCAGCCAGTTTGAAAATCCAAAGTGTTAGGTAGGAGGTGGATCGAGAAAATAAAAGTCACTCGATTACTAGGTGGCTCTCCCGTGTCTTTTTCTCTCCCTCCGCTGCTCGCACTTCCCGTAGAAAAAAAGACACCACATGTGGAATAATAACCCTATTCTAGTCGTTGTACGATTCCCCCTAAAAAAAAAGACTCCTCTCTCTCTCTCTCTGTATCGCAGACGTTCGAACGACCAACTTTCTCCGCGTACTATCCTGTTCGAAGCGTCCCTTACGATCGTTCCAAGGGCTGATACGTCGCGACGCTTCACCCTCGACACTCGAGCACCCTGGGTGCTCGATTCGAGGGGACACTGCGAGCCCTGCTTCATCTCGAGGGTGAAAATATTACGCCTGGCCGCTGTTTAAGTGTCTGTACGAAAAATTACCAATGTTTCTCTACCCCTTTGCAATTCACCGCTGAAAAAAAAACATACAAAATTACATTCGATTGGAGAATTTTTGTTTAATTGCAACGCAATCTTGCCGGGACTATCGAAAAATCACGTTACATTGCTACGTTGCGCTATTGGAAAAGAAATACAGATTGGAACGGAAGCAATATTTGAGCCGTATGATCGTCCCTTGTTTGTTTTTTTTCGGCGCGAGGGATACGAACGTGTGTCGCAACCCTTTGTGAAGCGAGACTTGGTGATTCAGGTTCTAGGGTTCGAGGATACGTACATATGGCTGAGAGAGGGCAGTTGTGGACAAAAAAAGAGGAGCGGAGTTTATTTGACAAAGGAGCTGTCAAATTCGAGCACGAAGGTAATGAGGTGATTCGGTGTTGAAAATTTCTTCACAGGGAGGAACGTCTTTTAAATCCATTGACACGATTTTTTTTTTCCAACGGGAGAAGATCATTTGGGCGGATCAGCAGAGGGCGATCGAACGACGCAAACGTGATTACGTGCCATTATCTAACCTCGATTCGGAGAAACCACTGATAAGGGAGAAGAGGCTCGAGTTGGATCTGTGTCAGTGGAATAGCATTAAGGAGAGCAACGACGCGAGGAAATTTTGGTTGAACGACGTCATGCAATCCGATGTCATGTTCAACGACGAACTTTGGAACCAAGAATGGTACCTGGTAATGAAACGAACGTATTTAAAAAGTAGCCTGTAGAACAAAAGCCGGGGGAAAACTGGGACGAAATAATGTTTGTAAAAATAAAGAGAGGGAAAAAAGAAACACGAGTGTACGAGCGGAGGAAAATCAATAGGAGAGTGAATCAATAACTGAAGTTGTTGGTAAAAGTACTCGACGGATAGGTCCCTGTTATCTCCTGATAAGATAAGGCTGCCTTATCAACTGTTGCAGCAAGACATGAGGTCGGACAAAACTCTTCCAAAGCTGGATCTGAACGTTGTACCCCTCTATCGAATGGGGGTAACTGGTCGAGGCGTGAGAATCGCTGTTTTGGACGACGGTTTGGAGTACACCCACGACGATTTGAAAAATAACTATGTGAGTAAGGCGTGATTTCAGTTGAAGGTACGTTTCGTGTCTGATAGATGACGAGATGTGATACTTAAAATTGTAGCTCCTCATTTTTTCAGAATATTCCATTTTTCTCCAATTAAGATTTCTCTCCGAGTCGATTAATTCAACTCGGTTCTTCTTTCCTTTTTATGGATTTATTGGTTTATTGATTTAGGATGCAAGTATCAGTTACGACGTGAACGAAAAGGACAACGATCCTTTACCACGATACGATACAAAAGGTAAGAATTGTACAGCGTGACGTGTAGTTGAATTGGAGATTTTAGTGTCGTATTCAGGTTGACAAAGTTGTTGTTAAAAAACCGTGGAAATTTGCGGGTCGAATTTACGCGCTTCTAAACGTTTATTACACCGACTAAGTACGCGAGTTTATACGTCCTGTCGTAAAATTTGTACGACCGAAGCGCTTCGCTCGTATATCACGTTCATTTTGCATCGAGAAGCTTCCAAGACACGGTGCTCCATAATAGAGAAACTGCTCGGCTGTTAGGCGAGCTACGGTAAACCGTTGACGAGAAACCTGTACAGAGAAATGCGTCAAAATTTGACATATTTCAAGTGTTCTCTTTGTAGAACTTTGCCGAAGATCTGGAGTCGCCAATTTGAACTTGTAGTAATTCATCGACATCTTCCTTCATTTAATACTTGGCTTAAAATTGCCAAATTCTTTTTCGACAAATCCTAACTATACCTCCTTTGCAAAAATTTAGACTCATACAGTACTAAATGTCCTGCTAATTTAAAATTCCTGCGTTCACGAAATGTATCAAATTTCTGTCAATTTATCGACATCTTCCTTCATTTAATACTCGACATAAAATAGCCAAAATTCCTTTTCCACCCCGTTTTCAAACTTCCCACCAAGATATCATTTTCCATAGAAAAATTCCTCGACGTCGACCCTTCGATACATAAACTTCTCTCTCCATTATCCCTTAAAATTTGAAAAAGGATCTCCCATAGAAACCTCGCGAATCACATTCTCCGTAACGATCCCCTTTCTTCGTCCCGCGGAGTGCTCGTTACTTTTTCACGCGTGTTGCAACTTATTCAATGCTCTCCAGAAGAGAATAACCACGGGACGAGGTGCGCCGGCGAGATAGCTATGGAGGCGAACAACCGGAAATGCGGCGTGGGCGTTGCTTTCGAGGCTTCAATCGGCGGGATCAAGCTTCTCGACGATTGGGTGACCGATCGCGTGGAGGGTGAGGCTCTCGGATATAAACGGGAATTGGTGGACATTTACACGGCCTCTTGGGGGCCGGCGGACGATGGGAGAAGTTTGGCTGCACCTGGAAGACTGGCCACAAAGGCTCTGGAACGAGGTGTTGCCATGGCGAGTATAGAAATTCGAAATTGCACCCTTTGACATTGGACGTGACGTTTAATCACACCGACGTGGATCGACTCGGGACACGCTTTCGCTCACTTTCCTCATGGGTCAACAGTTTCTAATTACCTGGAACGTTAATTACTTCGCTGATAGAAATGAACGTTCATTGTTTTATTCCTTATTTCTCGTCCAACTAGAGAAGTTTCGCGGAATTCTGATTAACCCTTGTGTCAACAGCCACAATTGTCTACTTTATCCACGAATTTTAGTAGCTCTCTGATAAGAAAATTCTAAACTTGAAGCAAACACGGATAGCAAATGTTGTAAATAACATTTCACCGGTAAGATCAAATAGTTTACCTAAGAAAATATGCAAAAGGGTTAATTTGGTATGATAAAGAACGGTCGTAAAATGACCGACGAAAAATTTCATATTTAGGAGGAATAAATCGTGCGAAAGGTCGAGAAACAAGAGGAGAGAGTAGCTCGATGCATATTTATCGAGTGAAAATATCGTTATCGAATTTTTAAATCTTCTCGATTTCGAACGATTGTTCAGGGCAGAAAAGGCAAGGGTAGCATTTATGTATGGGCCTCCGGAAATGGAGGCTCAGCGTCGGACGATTGCGGATGCGACGGATACGTTGGAAGCATTTATACCATTGCTGTGAACTCTGCCAGTCAGACTGGAAGCTCTCCTTGGTACGGCGAAAGCTGTCCGGCGATTTTGACCACCACGTATAGCGGTGGCTCTTTTCGGGACCAGATGATAGTAAGCACAGAAATATATGTAAATTACGCGGAAAAGCATCGAGAAGTGTGATCTATTTAAAATGTGAAGGAAAAGCCCTATCCATTTGGTTCATAAAATATACAGGGTGCTTCATGACACGAAAACAATGGGAATAGTTGGTAGAAACATGTGCATTATTTGACCTTATTCCCAAGTTATAGCCATTTTTGTAGTCCGGTAAAGTGCAACTGCTTACCTTTAGAAGAACTTCGAAATGTCTACCTGCGGTCGTGATACAGTAGAATTTCTCGATTTAAAAAAAATGAAAATACGGTAGATTTATATGTGAATCATTCAGGCACAATCTTATACGAGCTTTCGTTATTTCTCTATCTCCAGTTCATCGTTGAAGTGAAACACGCTGTATATGTATATTTAACAACTTGCTGCAATTTTTAGAGTGTTGCAGAACAATTTGAATTACAGCTGGTCGTTGTGTTATTATTACAAATTAAGTCATGGAAACAGTGGCAGCAGTTCGAATGAATATTAAATACTATCTGCCGACTTCCTGGATGGTAGAGTGAATGGAATGCAGCTTACAGGGAACGGAATAATTTAACAGACACTATTTCCGTCTTTCCAGGTGTCGACAGACCTAAGAAACACCTGCACGTTGAAGCATACTGGCACTTCCGCGTCCGCCCCATTAGCTGCGGGAATCCTGGCCTTAGCTTTGCAAGTAAAGTAAGAGCTCGTTGGATAATTTCCCTTCGAGGCTTCTTTCTTCCAAAATCAATAGAACCTCTCTGTTCCATTTTGTTTTTCTTCTCGCGAGAATACTCTCGCTGAAACACTCGCACAAACGCGTCGAATTCCGCTATAAAATTGTAAATTTCTCCGTTCGAAGTCCGAATGTTAGAGGAGAAAGAGCAGAAGAAGAGCCTCGACAGCGAAAAGAAAAAGTGTACGTCGAAAATTGAAGCTTTCCTCTGTGATGGATATTTCCGTAATCTATTTTCCATTCATGAAAATGTTGTTACTGGAAATCCCCGAGATTCACCGTTGCAGAGGAAACGCAGCGAAAGATAAATCCGTGGCATGACCATAATACCAAACTCGATTAAAAACTTATCGTTCCAGGAAATCTCAGACGCAGCACGTGCTCGTTCCGCCCGCGAAACTGCGAAACTTCTGTGCAACAACCGGGGTTGTTTCGAGCCATTAAGGAAAACACCTTAGGCTGTTTCGCTCGCCCTCTGCTCTTTCATTGTTCCTCCAACTCGTTTATGAAATATTCCGTTAAACCGAACGGCGCAAATATTTTTCCACGTTGCACAGACTGATCGAACTAAACTACAAATCTTCTCTCTTCAAGCAAAAACATAACATGGAGAGACGTACAGCATCTCATCGTTTCGACCTCTGAATACTACCCGTTGAGGTGAGAATAACGTATTGAAATTGTCGAAAATTTGAATAGGTATAGCTCTGAACGTATGTAAGCTAGAACGATGTTACCGACGTCGGTGGAGAGTGTGAATCTTCCCCTTTAACCTAGTTTTTGTTTCATCTCGATACGATCACCTGTTGCCGAGATATCGTCGTTCAAAGGGAAACGCAATTTCTAACGCGCCGATATCTCTGTCCTTGTCTAGCACGCTCGGACCTCTCACTCCCACTCGCTTCCCTGACCTACCCCGCTACAGCGTGCACGTGCGCTCAGCGGCAGACGCTGAGTCAGCGGTTTTTTTTACTATTACTACTTACGACGTACGCATTTCCAAGAAAAAATGTAGGTCACCGCGGGGTTTGGGAACCCATGAATGACACCTCCTGTATTTTAGTGTTGCACTTTGAGGTGGCGTATCTCCGGAACCGATTGAGATATCGACTTGAAACAAAAAGTGGTACAAAGGGGGCGTATCTTCCTCTATCCACAGAGTGTACTAACTTGAATATTCCTTCATTTTTCTGGACGTGGTTTTCGTTCGAAGTTGAGCTTGCATTACTACGTACAAGAGTATTTTGATCGATTTAAAAGAATTTTTCAATCAAGTGCAATTAATATTTTAATCGCAGTATACACCGTGCACTACAATATTAACAGTAGAACTTTATATTTTGCGTAAATAATACATTTTTCAGTATAATTCGTCGGTTTTTAATTATTTAAATTTCACAACTAAAGGGTAACTATATTTTTCTATTCTGAACTACTTCTAATCCCTAAAAATTCATATCTCGTGCCCAAAGGGTTAACGAAGAAAATATTCGACAGCCTGAGATACAACGAATCGCTAGAAATAAAAATAGCGTGAGATTCGCAAAGGGTGTGCCGTCAATGTTTGGACGACCGGTGGCCTGCCAGAGTCGTTTGCCACGATTCGCAGAAACGTAGAAAAAGCTTTCTCGTGAAATGGGGAAGACCGAGGCGATCTCGTTCTTCTCGGCGGGCATCGCGGATTAAAGCCACCTCGTGTCATTCTTATTCGCTCCGCGGTCGAGAAGCGAATGTAGGTCGTGCAGTTTCGACGGAGGGGAGGAGGAGAAACAGTAATTGAGGTGAAACGAACAGGAAGCGGGGAAGATCGTTGCTTTCTCTCGGATAAAAATAATATCGCGGTCGCGTTCGTCTGTGCGCGCAACCTGATCGACAGTCAGGGTGTCGGGACACGTTTCCAGCATTCCCCTTTAGCCTTTCCTTTTCCGTTTCTTTTCACTTGCATTCTTTTTCCTGAAATTTAACAGTCGGAATTTAACAGTTTCTTTTCTGCGCCAGCGAAATTTATTTAAACAGCCAAAGTGATTGTGAGATGAAATTAATCGTGACAGAATGGAAAGCTGTTGTGCAGTTTACAAAGCTGTGTTGTTTCAGAACGATTTCGGGATAACAAAGGCTGGATTTCCAGTGGAGAGGAATAAATTCTTCGTTAAACGGCTTCAATTCGTGTTACAGCGTATCAGATCTCCGTTAATGCCTGGCGATAAGCTAAATAGCCGGGATATTTATACGTGGTATTCGTCGATTTTGCTATCTGGTGTTTTAGTATGAACGATAATACACTTGGAAAAGAGGGAAAGTGTAAGTAGAGAGAGAGAGATGATGGTGATTTCAGCTTCATTCATAGCATCGAGAGAGTGACGCGCTGGCTCGAATTCAGTGACCTGATTGCGCGATTGTATCGAGCTCTCGGCGGGACGCGACGAACAATGCTTTATTCAACGCCGATATCGCCTAAATGAAAGCACCCGGAACGATGTTTGTAAAACTAATTCTTTATCAGTCTCGCGCAAAGTGCCCAAACAATCTCTGAAATCTATGGGAAATCCCCGAAAAATCTAGTCTTAAAATATATCTCTCTGTTTGAATCGATGAAAAATGTTCCAGAAATGTTAATGCGAGAATAAAAAAAAGGAATATACATATACATACGTAGTCACGTTGAAAGAGAATTACCCCTTTTAAAGGGTAGAAAGGAAGTTAAATGAGCCGCTTTGCTCTCCACGGGCAAGACAGAGGTTTCTTGCGGCCGCGTAAAAACGGTTTACACGCGGCCCGTTTCATTTTACGTTGGTCATTCTTCCTTTCGCACAAGCGAGCCCTGTAATTGCATCAACTTTCAGGAAGAACCCCGGCTGGTTCAGAAATTCCGCTGGATTTTTGTTCAACTCACGCTTCGGCTTCGGGCTTATGAACGCGTACAGGCTGGTCACAGCCAGCTCCATTTGGACCACCGTGCCCGACAAGACCATCTGCAAAGTGGACATCACGAGACTGTGAGTGACGTTGCATGAAAATTTCATCTTTGACCTTGATTAATAGCGTTACATCTTAACTTTCTTAACTGGAGAAGAATTACTCTGACATTTTTTAAATTGTATTTCGCGTGCTTTTAAATCGGACGAGTTACACTCTTGACACAGATTTTAATCAAAATGTGACAAAGACGATTGATTACCAAATGTAAATTAGGTTTACTTACCTGACACAGTGCTTACGTGCACAGTAAAATCGTTATGAGAAATTTATTGGACAAATAGGATCTATTTCCGTAAGTTTATGGAAATAGACGTGTGTTTCAATTGTCAGATTTGTATAATGGAATACAGATACACGCTCGTTAATCGATAATACGAGCACAATCTCGTTCTAATCGAGCTCGCCACATGCGATTTACCACTCACGGTCCATTTAGATTACCACGCTCGAACGTGATTCCATGCGGTGCTTTAAACACCGCTGGTAGCTGAATATTCGTACAAGCTTTTCGAGTATTCCATATTTCGATCCGATTTTTTCCCTGGTAATCTTATTGAGATTTCACGTTGATCGTAAAAATGAAACTTTTATTCCCTTGTTTCGTATTTGTTAGAAATGAAATTATTTGTTTTTTCTTTCGGTAACGTAAAGAACGGCAGAAAGATAAATGTCGCTTGTTTTCTTGAGCAATCCAGGCCACGTCTTCTCTTCTCCAAGAAGGCGAAAAACGCCGGTTTATACTCGCAGTTTCTTGCAATCAAAGCCTCAGGTGATGCTCGGGTTGTGTCCTTGGTCCTTTAAAAAGCGCAGCAAAGCTCTGGTGACTTTTTACGTCGTTAAACTCAACATACCGGAAAGCGCTCTTCAGTCATTCGTTACTGCACCGTTAAGGGAAGACGGTCGAAAAAAAAAGTGGAACGTCTCGAGGACTTTTCCTACGTTCCACGTATGCACGTCAGTTTGACTTTCTTTTCAAAACGAACAAAATTGCCTCGTTTTTGACATTTTCACTTAACATTCCCCGATGTCCTCTCTAAAATTCGCCGGGAGAGTGCTTTAGTAAATTCTGCGAAACATTTCCGTGTCGGTGAATTCTCGTTCGGTAGATATTCAAATCTCGATCTAAACGATATAAAGCGTAATTATCGATGGGACATGGAAGGAGGACAGGAAGTTTCAAGCAATTCTATCGACAAGACACGCCCGAATACGGAAGTAACACGCGATTTATGTATGCAACGTATTAGAAAACAGGCTGTTTGGTCTAGATGGAACAAGAAGCTGGCTTACGGAAAACCCAGGGCGCTCCGATTCGACGCGAAGAACCAGTGTCTATTGGCAGGCAACGAGATTGCGTTTTTGGAACACGTGGAGATCAAGGTCAGCATCAGGTACAGTTTTCGCGGCGCTCTTCAGATGCACCTCACCGCGCCCTCAGGTACGCACTTTTCATTTCACGTTCTTTTCAAAACACATTGTCACGTGTTTCACGATGAAACACAGGGACAGGGTTTCGTAACGTGCGATCACCCGCAAAATAATTACTTTATATAATTACAAATCGTCTCTCGTTAAAACCTTCATCGTTTTAACCACACTTCAACATACGCTTACGTTTCATTTCTTCCTACCTCTTTTCACTACGTTTGTAATCATTTCTAATGGTTTCTCCCCTTCAACACTCGCTGTACTTTAAGATCAGACGAACGTAAAGCTCGTATTTTCAGTTCCAAATTAAAATTTTGTACGATATTGGTTAAATTTAAAAAAAATCCTCTTTAAACGGTACAGAATGGAGTTTTCACACGTGTTGCAACGATCTCGAGATTCCGCCCGGAGGATTTTATCATTGGTACAAGCGTGAAAATACCGCGGCTGTATCGTCCCGGTCTGTCGCGTATTTATCGCCGCGTAAGACGGACTTCACGGCGTCTGGCGCAGAAGACGAGAGAAGAATACAGGGTAGAGAACGGCTGAAAAAGTAACATTTTTACCGCGTACACAACGCGGCCGACCGCGTGCACGTCGCTGCTCCAGATCGATTTCGCCCCGTGAGAACCGCCTGAGAAAAGTGCGCGCTCGCCGGTGGAGAACAGTCAAGAGCGAGTAGATTTACGACCGCGTATGCTTCCGGTTTCTAAAGGCGAAATTTACTGAAAAATCTTCTACCTTCAATCTTTCTACGCCGGGGGAAAAAAATTTTCCAAAGATTCCCCCTGCAAGCGGCGAAAGAAGCGAAAATCATTAGTAAACTTTCTTATCTTCGTTGCTTCGGAAGGTGAACGTGTACGGAAAAGGAATTTCGCTTGTTTTTATCCACAACGAACGTGCAGGTACGTTCGTGAATAGAAGAGGCTTCTCTAGATTCTCGTCTTGTTCTTACGGCGAACACGACAGAGGAAACGATTTCACCTGGTGATGGAACTGAATCGAGCTAATTCGAGCGAACCAGAGGGAGATTGGCCTGACCATTGTGCAGTAACGTTTAATTCCGAGCACGTTCACGGATTCCTGTTATATTAATAGCTGATGTGTTCTCTCTCTTTTACAGCGTGCAACGCGTGGATTAAACCGGAGGAATTTTCGAAAAATAACGAAGGCCGTAGGGAACGTAATTTCGGTCAACCGGAAACAGGGTCGCGTGATTTCCGAAAAAATGTTATCCAACTCGCAGATTCGCGAGGAATAAAATTCCACCGACGTTTAATTGTCCTCTCTGTCTGTCATTTTTGTTACAATTTTTTCTCGGAGTTATTCTCCGGTGGAAATAAAGGTTCGAAGAAGTTTTAACGAGTGAATTAGTGAGTTAATTATAATATTGACGAGTCAATGCGTTTTAAAGTGAATTAATGTGAATTAAAGTGTGACGAGAACGAGGATAAGAAGAAGGTTGCTTTTGGTGAATTTTAAAGGGTTCACGGTGCAACTACTGAAACCAAGAAAATGGGACAACTCGACTTCCGGTTTCAAGGAGTGGAAATTTATGTCCGTGGCATCCTGGGGCGAGGATCCTCGTGGTATCTGGATTCTAGACATCGCCGACAAGGTGATTCATCCATCCGCCGAAAACATTTCCCATTAATCTCGCCCGGTTACACCTTCTGTCCTCTCTCGATCTCCTCTCCAAACTTATCAACTACATGCACCGGAATGATTCTCCGTTTAATCGGACTTCACGCTCAATAGCGTTCATTTGTGCCTCGATAGACCGGTCCGAAAGGGAACACCGGGACAATAGAGGCGTTCACGTTGATTCTACACGGGACCAGGCATCCGCCGGAGTATCGCAAGAACCGTCCGCAAATTTACTACCAGAACTACAACCGTATTTAAAAAGCTGTGAGTTAACGTTCGTCGATTCTACCCTGTGTGAATTTGTTTCGATGTTATTTTAATTTGCGAACGCCAACCACCGTGAAATTTATTCCTCCAACGTATTTCCACGCCTTGTCTTCCTTTTTTCTCTCTCTGCAAAAGCGTGTGTAGAATTTCACCGCGAATATTTACGAGTTCCGGTGAAATTTATGCTTTCAGGAGATACTGCGATCGAGGATCGAAGAAATGAACGACATCTACGGGGGATAGATTGACCGAAGAGATTCCTGGGAAGATAAATTCGCGGAGAGAAACCGACTCTATATTCGTCTCTATATAAAAATAAATAACCGAATAAAGTGTAGTTGTGTTTGCGAGGATTATTTAATAAATTCACTCGTCTCAGTCTTCTTCCTTTTTTGCACATTCTACGTCTGCGAGTGGAAAAAAACGAACTGCGCCGAGGCTGGACGAGCAGGGAAGCTGGTTGAATATTAATAACTCTGGGACCATTAACAGATGATTACGACAAAGGGAATCTGGAAGCACGCCGCATTTCCTAGCGGCTTAACGGCGGAAACTCGAAATTGAAAAGGCAAGGGGAAAAATATGGAAAAAAGAGAACGTTCGTTGTCATATTTTTCCAGGATAATTCTCGTCCCTACGGTTGAACCCGAGCTTTCCGTCCAGCGGAATACACAGGCCGAATTCTACTTTCTGTGGCTTAGGGAGCGTTCTAGAGCACCGGTTTCTCTGCTCCTCCAAACCAACCGCCTGTTGTCTCTGCGGTGACTTAGAATCTCACGGGAGAAGGAGCAAACAGTGCTAAACTCTACGTTCTATCGCGAACTAAGATTTGTGCAATCCTCGTTGAAAATTTCCACCGTCGACGACGACGAAACGTCCGCGATCGGGAATGATCGATGCAGAAGAACCTGGATAATTCCACTGTAGAAAGGTATTATTACTTTCGCGAT